TATTTCCTTATATTCTATCTCCCCTGATGATGATTTTGTTTCAACATGACCTCTAGGTCTTACTTGATCAAAAAGCGAATCAGGTTTCTTTCTCTAGCGCTAGATCTAACGATGCTGACTGACAGCTCGGCGTTGGCGATCAAAAAGAAAGGGCTCTGGGCTAACTCACCCGCTGTGTTTTCCCCCACCCCAGTACACCCTGTGGTGCATTCCGTCAGCTTGCGCACATCACACATTCGCTCCATCCATCACATTGCTGTGACCTCTCCATCCCCGCATCGGAGAAGTGAGAGGCATGGTAGGCTTTGATAATCTAAACTAGGTTTACGCTGGCCTATCATGCGATGCGTTCTGCTTGTCTGCGCATCCCACACCCTCCCTACTCAGTCGCCCCGGCCTTTATTGTTGACACACATTGGCTCTCCCATTCTTTGTTTTGCTAGATCACCAACTAGTTTCTCAACTGGCGAGGTTTTACATGTATAATTGGCCTATGCACTGCGCACAGCAGCAGCAATATTCCGCTATAACCGACTCGCGTGTTTGTCTGATTGCGCTATAGCAGTATTTTATTTACAAAGGTAAAGAAGAGCAAAACACGGGGTTTTAGAATAGTGTCTATATAAATATAACAGACTTCTCTTTTTTTCCGGACTCGTTATAAGTTAATATATGTGGACTCCACTGTATTATTTTATATATTTATATTTTTAAAAATGTAGGAACAACATCACATCTAATAACTTTATGCTGTATACACAGAAAATAGAAAAACAACACACATCAGAACATTTTAAAAGAAAATCAACTCACCAACAAATTATAACACAACAAAGGGAAAAATAAAAGACAAATAGCAATGTATAGTATGTGATGTACCTTCCTTCTTCGCATGAAAATATCTACACATGGACACCTTAAAATTATCAAAATACATGTCTAATATTGTTATGAAGTATGAAGTAGCTTTATTTGTTGAAAAATGCAAAAATCACAGCCGCGATTCGCGGATCAAAAAATGCAAAAAATCGTTGCCGCGACAAACGCAGATGAAGGAGTAGAAAGAAAGATGTAGAGACCCATGTTTTAAATCACTTTCAACTTGCAAAGTGGCTTGTTTTTGTGTTTTTTTCGACATAATTTCCTCCATACTTGAATTAAATGGATTGTGAATATATATATATTTCATTGGGATAGAGAGATAGAGGGAGGGGGAATGTGAAATAATATCGCTTTTAATAAATAATATGTATGAATAGTAATAGTTAAAAATAATAGCCATGATAACGATGACAGTAATAACGATAGCCATAACGACGGTGGTAATAATAAAAACAACAATAATAACAGTAGCAATATAAAAACAACGATGAATAACATTAATAATACTACTACTACTACTATTTTAAAGACCTATGAAAAAGAAATGTATTTTCCAGAGTGTAAGAAAGTCAAAATTATTGTTTATAGAATATAAACATAAATATATCATGATAATTGAAGTTATGGATATTAACAATGAGATATTCATTTAAAGACCCAAAATCTTGACTTAAATACATGACATATTATGTTACATTTTAACATGGATAGGTAATAAAAGGTCGAACACAGAAGATACGAAATCATGCATCCGTCGAACTGTGCCTGCAGTCAGGTTTTTTCTTCTTCTTTATCTTGGTAAGACCCCTCAAACTACATACCAAGGCCGGTTCTGACGAATAAAAGCTATCCGTGTTGAGCTATGACAATTCAGCAAAACTGAAAACCAGCTGTGTAATGATCTTCTAAAAAGTTCTTTTTATGCTTTAGACTTGTTGCACTACAAACTTTACAATGTGTTCTTTCTTGGGTCTCTTAGCTAGGGTGGCACTGTGTGAGAACACTCCAACACAAACTCCAGCTTTTCTTTCCTGTAAATGCTTTTTTTCTCCTCTGTGCATTCTTTTGTGTCTCTGTAGGTGGTCATCGTGTAAACATTACACCACAAACTTCATAGAGATACACGTAGATTTCTACATGACCTACTGTTGGTCAAACTTTTCTCTTGGGTGCATTTTTTCATTGTCCTTTGAGCTACCACAATCTACACTGCACACTTGCCCTCCTGTACAGTCTTTTTCTCTATGACGTGTGCTACTTTTAGGGCTGCTGCTCCAAAAACAACACTCCACAAACTTCACACAGTAAGACCTTTCTCATGGGTGCTCTCTTGTCTCTCTGTAGGCCACAATTCTCTGGTGCTAGATCTAATATTGCATCACCAACTTAACTACACTTTAAAAAGTTTTTCTCCCAAAGGGGGAGGGGGGGTATGTCTGAAGACTGCTGCTACATTGTAGGCCTATAAACTGTCCCCGTAGAATTGCAAATTTAGATGGCCAAATTATGAAAAAAATGCCAAATTATGCAAAAATTATGCAAGTTACCGTAACATCATTCGCGACATGTTTTGCACTTTTTCAACACGAATTTTCATGATTTTCATGTTTTATGTACAGAAAATTTAAAACAGAACATATCAGTATCACTAATTTGTTGTGTATTTGGAAAAAACCCAATACACATCAGTAAGAAAAAAACCCTAAAAAATATACAGTGGAAACCTGATATAACGGATGGTGGGAGTAGAGAAAATGTCCTGTTATATCCGATCCCTGTTAAATCAGAAATGCAAGGAAAGTAAGCATTTGTGGACTAATCCAGCTGTACTTGTTCATGGGTAGTTTCCTTTGCCACAAGTAGGCTACCCACGAACAGGGGTTTTGGCACCAACTTTCTCCTTGCCTCCTTAAACCATATCAGAAGAGCTTGGACCACAGCATAGGCATCGGGTAGTCTCAACTTCTTTCGATACAGAGCAAACTTTCCATTGGAGTATGCTGCCACTATCTTCTCTCTATCCATGATAATGGTGTGAACCGACCCTTGTGGAATGTCGAACTGACAACAAACCTCTGCCAGTGGAGCTTGCTTTTTGTCAACAGCCTGGATTATTTTGTATTTTTTTGTCAATTGAAAGGCATTACGTGTGCGTGTTGCTAGGTTTCGGGCTAGATCAAGGTCTGCAGCACACCGCAGCCCTCTCTCGCTTCACACGCTGCGTGTGCTTGCAGTGGCATGGCTTGCATGGGCTTGCTCTATCACTGCATTACTCTCTCTCTCTCTCTCTCTCTCTTACTTTTTACACATCGTTAACGAGCCTTTGTCCTTGCTATAACCGGTTGGGCTGCGATGAGGCCCTGTTATTCCCGAGAACTTTTAATAGAGACAAAGAGTAGGAAAAAACGGGGATTTCAAAAATCCCTGTTATTACCGGATCCCTGTTATTACCGGGCTTGTTATATATATATATAATGGTTTCCACTGTAATCTCTGTAACTTTCAGCTGTAGATCTAGATCTATAGAAGTAAGAAAAATGTTGTTTTTTTTTAAAGAAGGACATCTGGACCTCTGATGCTGGCAAACCACGGACACCTGTCAACAGCAGAGGGCAAAATTGAACATTCTCAAGGAACAAAATCCCAACCCATAACCAAGATCTTCTAACAAGGGAAATAACCAATTTTCACTTAATTGAGACTTATTACGGTGATTATTTCCCTTTAGTCACATGGCGAGGCGTTAATTGTTTTGTGAAAAAAAAGGGTAAAAGACGTGAAAAAAAGGTAAAAAACATGAAAAAACGAGGGGAATCCAAAATTATGCAAGTGTTGCAAAATTACGCGAAAAAACGCGGCCGCACAATCCTGCGGGGACAGTATAAAGTACTCCAAATGAACCCTACATGACCACAAACTTCACACTTTCAGGGTTTTTCTCCAGTGCGTTTTCTTATAAATTTGTTTTAGTAGGTGTGGCATTTGTTACTCAAGTAGTAAGTGGCTTGTGTAAACCTTTAACCACAAACTTCACACTTGTAAGGTGTTTCTGTGTGTGTTCTTTTACATTACATTAAAATTATAACCCATGTTTAGTAGTTTATCTGCTCTTACACACTTGTAAAGCTTTTTTTTACCACAAACTTAACACATATTTATAGATCTAAGGTTTTTCTCCTGTGTGTTCTTTTATGTTGGAGTAGACCTTCGTTTGATTAGATCTAAAGCTTTTCCATAAACTTCACACACTTGTAAGTTTTTTGTCCTGTGTGTGTGTGTTCTTTTGTGTATCTTTAGGGCATCACGTTGTGTATAACTTTTACCGCAAACTTCACACAGGTAATGTTTTTCTCCTGTGTGTGTTTTTTTGTGTCTTTGTAGGTGACTACTACAAGCAAATCTTTTACCACAACCTCCACACTTGTACGGTTTCTCTCCTGTGTGCCTTCTTTTATGTAAAAGTAGAGAATCACTTGCTGTAAACCTTTTCCCACAAACTCCACACTTGTAAGGTTTTTCTCCAGTGTGTATTCTTCTATGTTTCACTAGGTTACCACCTATTGAAAAACTTTTACCACAAACTTCACACTTGTAAGGTCTTTCTCCTGTGTGTGTTCTTTTGTGTCTCTGTAGGCCACTATTTACTGAAAAACTTTTGCCACAAACTTCACACTTGTGAGGTTTTACTCCTGTGTGTTTTCTTTTATGTACCAGGAGGGCACTACTAACTGCAAACCTTTCACTACAAACTTCACACTTGTAAGGTTTTTCTCCTGTGTGTGTTCTTTTATGTCTCATTAGGACACCACTTGATATAAACCTTTTGCCACAAACTTCACACTTGTAAGGTTTCTCTCCTGTGTGTGTTCTTTTGTGTGTCTGCAGGCCATTACTTGACGTAAGCCTTTTGCCACAAACTTCACACGTGTAAGGTTTTTCTCCAGTGTGTGTTCTTTTATGTCTCAGAAGGTTACCACTTGTGGTACATCTTTTGCCACAAACTTCACACTTGTAAGGTTTTTCTCCTGTGTGAGTTCTTTTATGTCTTAGCAGGCCATAAATTGATGTAAGCCTTTGGCCACAAACTTCACACTTGTAAGGTTTTTCTTCTGTCTGTGTTCTTTTTTTAAGTTTCAGTATGTTACCACTTTTTATGAACTTTTCACCACAAACGTCATGTTCATTAAGTTTTCTCCAGTGTGTGTTCTTTTGTGACTCTTCAAGACACTGGCTCGTGTAAATATCATACTACAAACGTCACACTTGTAAGGCTTTTCTACTTCTGTGTGTGTCCTTTGGTGACTCTTCAAGACACTGACTTGTGAAAACACTACACCACAAACTTCACACTTGTGAGGTTTCTCTCCTGTGTGTGTTCTTAAATTACGTTTCTGTTGGTTACTATTTTTTGTGAACTTTTCACCATAAACTTCACACTCGTTAAGTTTTTCTCCTGTGTGTGTTCTTTTGTGGCTCTTCAAGACACTGGCTCGTGTAAACGTTACACCACAAACTTCACGCTTGTGAGTTTTCTCTCCTGTGTGTGTTCTTTTACTTTTCAGTTGGTTAGATCTACTACATTTTGTGAACTTTTCCCTATAAACTTCACACTCGGAAAGTTTTTCTCCTGTGTGTGTTCTTTTGTGGCTCTTCAAGGCACTGGCTCGTGCAAACATTACACCACAAACTTCACATTTGTAAGGCTTTTCTCCTGTGTGTCTTGTCATGTGCCTCTGTAAGACACCCTTCTGTGCAAACGTCGCACTACAAACTTTGCAATCGAAAGATTTTTCTCCAGTGTGTGTTCTTTCATGTCTCTGTAATCTGTCACTCTCTGTAAATGTTGCACCACAAATTTCACACTTGTACGGTTTTGCCCCAACTGAGTGTGATCTTTCATGTCTTCGTAGCTTATCGCTTTTTGTAAACCTTTGACAACAAACTTTACACTTGTAAGGATTTTCTTTTGAGTACCAAATTTTCGTAGTCCTAAGTCTGGGTCCATCTGGGCGACCCGTGTCAGCCTCCTTATACACTTCTGGGTTTGTGGTAGGCCTACTAGAAGACTCTGACAAATTGATAGCACTGGCCATTGACTCAGTACAAGAAAAGCTGAAATCAGAACCTTGATTCCTGACAACAGAGCCAGAATTTTTTGAGACGTATTCCAAAAGTGCTGGATCAGCAGAGAAAATGGATGTAACAACATAAGTGTGTGAGTTGGAACTCTGCTCTACACACAAACTCCTTTCAGCGGAAGTATCATGCAGTTTTAGTCCTCCAGCCAGACTGATGTGATCCTCAACAAACATTATAGGCTCAGCACTCATCTCCTCCACATCTCCCACTTGTCCTTCTGTCTTTCCTATCTCTCCAAAGTCTGGACCCTCCCATTCTGACACTTCCTCTTTGACAAAACCCTCTAATTTTGGTTTCACTTCACCATCACCAAAGTCAGGAAAATATTCCAATACTGGTTCACTTTTGCCTAGATCTAAATTAGTATCTCTGACAGGTTTTACCTCTTCTTCCTCCCTGAACAAACACATAGGCTCATCTTTTTTTATTTGAAAGTATCCAATTTTAATGTCCGATTCAAGATAATTATTACCCTCGGCCTTGACATCACACGACCACTCAAAACAGGATTCTTCTTTTATCAGCAGATATTCCTCTTTTACAACAGGTTCTTGCTCTTTAACTTTAAGATCAAATAAGGTCAAAGAAGTGCTCTTATCTTCAACGTAATTTTCCCCACTTGTAGTGTCATGTTTCACATAAGGAGACCAAGAACTAGAACAAGGTTCACCTTTAAGAACAATGTCATCAACGCCAAGATTCACATCTTCTCCAGAAGAACAAGGAACAAATGCTACTGTTTTCCCAAAGCTATGACCATTGTCACCTCCAGAGATAAGACCATTCTCTGTGTTTTCCTCAGAATTGACGTTCATTTGTGTTCCAGAGTACGGAATGTCAGCCATTCTTGATGCAATCACAATCCCAATGTTGACATTACTCATTACCTTTGAACACAGCACAGCCCTTTGTGAAAGTTCAAAATAAAACAAAATAAACACTTTCCCATTTTTACCTTTTAAGTAAGGCTACTTCCCTACTAGTACTAGATCTAGATCTAAATGAAACATCTATTCAGGAGGTTTAACTAGACTGGCACTGTGAAAGTTTTGCTTTGTAAGTCCAACTCATATATAATATTGAACACTAGGCCTACAATGCACCAACTTGAAAGATTGAGAACTTTGATAATTCCAAGTCCAAGAAAGCCAAGTTTGTTAGTTCTGAACACTGCCACAATCTGTCCCTTTATTCACTTGTTGTTTTGTATCAGGTGCTATTTGCAAGGCAGCGTTCTGAATAACTCCCATGCTATTTGTAACGCCACGTTCTGAATAGCGCCCATGCTATTTTAAACGCCAGTACTAGTAGCCATCGTTACTACATTTTAATATTATTTGCAGTTTTGCCTAAATTCTAAATTGTGGAAGCTTTCTCAGTTTCTTGATAAACCTTCTAGGATTTGACTCCTTTTTTATGACATTGTCTTATTCCGATCAATAATGGGTAGATCTAGATCTAACAATTGTTTCTGACACTGACATTGTAATTGTTTGCACCAAAAATAGTCTTGTTCATCTCTCATAATATAATCATGATCATTTGAGTTTGAGAGCAAGTAAGTCAAAAGACGCTTGGATAACAATAACAAAATGGTGCAACTCAGTACTTACTCTAAGCACTATTTCCTGTCCGCAGTGTCGTTATACAATACCTAAAAATAATTATTAGATCTATCTCCGTGTGCACTTTATATTTTGCCATCACACGCATGACGTCAACTAATCTAGATTTTTAGGCTTCGGCATTCAATTTAGCCGGGCCGTAGTGTCTACATTCTACCAAGCTGTCTACGTTCTCTAATGTTCAGTGCTTCCAAAAATGGCATCGAATCCCGGTCCCAGAAGGGTTTTTTTTCTTCTCCTGCACCTAAAATTATTTTTTAAAAATAAATATACTTACAGGCCAAGAAAAGCCACAAGATCTAGATCTCTATAACTTTAACCTGGCCTAAATTGGTAAAAGGAAAAGTATAGCGAGACCTACTTTGTAGGTAAAAGCTCCTCTTGCGGACAAAACCAGAAAGTGCATGTTTCATTACTAGATCTCTACATGATAAAAAACTAGAAAACGACAAGTTAAATATTAGAGAAAAAATTGTTGATCAGTCGGGAAGAGGAGAAGAAAAAAAAAACCAAACGGAGAGTCTACGTACACAGTAACCGGGCACCTCTAGCCTCAGTGTCTACGTACATGGTAACCGGCAACCGGGCACATAGTCTCAGTGTCATGTACACGGTAACCGGGCATGTAGCCTCAATATCTACCTACACGGTAACCGGCAACCGGGCATGTAGTCTCAGTGTCACAAGAGACTATTATAATCAAATACTCTCTGGTGTCACGTACACTAACTGTAACCAGGCTGTTCAGAACTCCAAGTTCAGTTTTTGTCATCCGGTGTTGCCTTCATCCCCACCCCTCCCCCGACTGTACCTTAAAAAAAAAAAATTAATCCCCCCCCCCCCCCCATTCCGGAGCCCCATACTTCTCAGCGCACAGACTTTGAATTTGAATGAACTTTGGTGACCCCAACCGGTACTCACAATGTGATGCACACGCACAGGTTCACTGACTTGTCACGATGGCGAGCCTGACAAGACGTTTGTATGACTCTTTTTTTTCAGCAAGTGACAGCACAGGACAAATATTGATTTATTTTCATTCCGGTTACCGTGTACGTAGATACTGAGACTAGGTGCCCGGCAAATCCCGTTATTGCCGTTAAACGTAGAAAAGACGCATCTTCTTTCTGATTGGCTGCTAATTTTAGTACAGTGGAGTCCACTTATAACGAGTCCGGAAAAAACGAGAAGTCTGTTATAAAGACACAATTCTAAAACCCCGTTTTTTTCTCCTCTTTACCTTTGTAAATAAAATACTGCTATAGCGCTATCAGACAAACATGCGAGTCGGTTATAGCGGAATATTGCTGCTGCTGTGAACAGTGGATAGGCCAATTATACATCATGCAAACCCTCGCCAGTAAAGAAACTTGTTGGTTATCTTACGAAACAAAGAATAGGAGAGCCCATGTGCGTCAACAATGAAGGCCGGAGCAACTGAGTAGGGAGGGTGTGGCATACGCAGACAAGCAGAACGCATCGCGTGATAGGCCAGCGTAAGCCTAGTTCAGATTATCAAGGCCTACCATGCCTCTCACTTCTCCGATGCGCAGATGGAGAGGTCACATCAATGTGATGGACGGAGCGAATGTGTGACGTGCGCAAGCAGACAGAATGCATCACAGGGTGGGGTGGGGTGGGGGAAAACACAGTGGGGGAGTTAGCCCAGGGCCCTTTCCTTCTGATCGCCAACGCTGAGCTGTCAGTCCACTCGCTAAAGAAAGAAACCTGACTCAATTTTTGACAAGTAAGACCAAGAGGTCTTGTCAAGACAAAATCATCATAAGGGGAGATAGCAAAAGGAAATAAACAGAACACCAAACTCATAGATAAGGCCTCCTTTACAGTTTCCCTTGAATTTATTACCGGATCCCTTATAGCGAGAATTCTGCTATAACGGACATTTTGCTCCGGTCCCCTCCCTCTCGTTATAACAGGATTCCACTGTAATGTGATGTCATCACTTCCTGGGATACCCACATGGAACTACGTGTTTTCGGTAACATTTCGGATTTCCTAGATCTAGATTCGGTGGCCTAGTGGTTAGGCTCTCGGACTCGCAACCGTAAGGGCGTGGGTTCGAATCCCGTCAGGGACCCGACGTTGTGTCCTTGGGAAAGGCACTTTACACGAATTTTCCTCACTTCATCCAGGTGGGAATGGGTACCCGGCTATAGACAGCAAAAGATCGTATCAGTTTGTTAGTGTTTGAGCGCTTAATCGGCTGCTTGCACTGTATGCTTCCCGGGAAGCTGAGAATGTTTCGGAGTGTTGTATGGTCTGCTGGGGTAATAATATAGTGTAAAGCGCATAGAGCCTGCTGCTGAGCGGGGATATGCGCTATACAAATGCTATCTATTATTATTATTATTACTTGGACATGATGGAAGACCGCACGAAAATTGCCGTAAAGACGCAGGAGGACTAGATGTCTAGATCTAGATTAGATATCTAAATTTAGATAAGATCTACCACCCCGCCCCCCCCCCCCCCCTCTCCTGCATTTTAAAGATTTTTAATCACTAATAAATAATACATTAAAAAAAACAAAAACAACTTCAAAGCAACTCTACCCATTAGGCATATAATTTATGGAACTGTTGGTCAGTCGGGAGGAGGAAAAGAGAACAAAAAAATGTCCGGGACCGGAATCGAACCGCTCCAAAAGTCATTGTACGACATCAAACGCAGACGCGCTATCAAATCAGCTATCAGAACTTCCGAGAGAAAGGTGTAGATTAAGCATCATATTTATACATAGACACTTCCATCTTTGGTGCCATGCAGTTGTCTATACTTAGATGTAGTCACGTGATCGGAGGGGTATCCTGGTCTGACGTCAAAACAAGATGGGCGCCTTACCTAAAAATAGTTTGCATCTTTCTACTTTTAATCGCACTACCCGACCGTGTACGTAGATACTACGACTAGGTGAGACTAGGCACCCGGTTACCGTGTACGTAGATACTGAGACTAGGTGCCCGGTTACCGTGTAAGTAGACACTCCGAAACCAAAAAAAACCCCTTCCAGATCCAGGAATCGTACCCCCATGCTCATAAAATAATTGTTTGACTTCAAACGCAGACGACGCGCTGTCCATTCGGCCATCAGAACTTCCAACAACGAAGCGTAGATTAAGCCTTATATTTATTTAACACACAGCGTTTTATTTAGCACTGGCACTAATCGCAACGTAGCATTTTATTCAGGGCCACCTCTATTCTCACCCGGGATGAGAATAGTGCAGGCTAGTCTTTTGGCTATTCTCACCCGGTGCGCGTTCACTGTTATAGCCTAGATCTAGGCCAACAAATTTTGCGTTCACCCTAAAACCACAGAATTCTACACTGTGATAACAGAAAAATTGTAGAATTCTGTGCCGTGAACAAACGTTCCATTACAACTGTAGCCTACTAAAAGCGTACAATTTTGTATGTGGGCAGTGGAGAGAGAGAGAGAGAAAGAGACAGAGAGAGGAGTAGCGTGAGAACTTCCGGGCAAAACAAAATGGCGACCCGCGTAGTTCTGCTCGATTCGAAAAGTTAAATAGCCGTAGCATCTTTGTAGACAACCAAATTAATTTACTTTTGTGTTTTAACATCATTTTTTAACTTTGTTTTGGTCAATTTGATCGTCCACACCGATAGACAGTTTTCAGAAAGAGACAGAGAGAGAGAGAGAGGGGAGGAGCAGATCTTGCGAGAACTTCCGGGCAAAACAAAATGGCGACCCGCGTAGTTCGGCTCGATTCGAACAGTGAAATAGCCATAGCATCTTTGAAGACGATCAAATTAGCTTACTTTTGTGCTATAACGTAATTTTTTCTTGGCTTTTATCAATTTGATCATCCACACCGATAGACAGTATTCCAAAATGAGGAAAAGCAGGTCTTGTTTCGCACCGGGTGAGAATAGCCTACGCTGGCAAGTCTCACCCGGGGTGAGAGGTAGATCGTTTTTCTATTCTCACCACGGATGAGAATAGCCACTTCCTTTTTCAGCACTGGCGTTATTGGCGTTAATCGCAACGTGGCATTGCAAATGGCCACCTCTATTCTCACCCGGAGTGAGAATAGTGCAGGCGAGTCTTGTGGCTATTCTCACCCGGTGCGCGTTCACCAAATTTTGCGTTCACCCTAAACCACAGAATTCTACACTGTGATAACAGAAAAATTGTAGAATTCTGTGCCGTGAACAAACGTTCCATTACAACTGTAGTCTGTAGCCTACTA